TCGATTATCAGATCTGTGCTAGAATACTGCTGTGCAGCCTGGAATACATCTATCCCCTCCTACCTTTCCGACAAAATCGAGAGGGTTCAACGTCGTGCTCTACGGATTTTATATCCAAACATGTCCTATTCAACCGCGCTTGCTACCTCCTCTCTTCCCCATCTATCCGATCGTCGTGATACTCTTTGTAAGAAGGTTTTGGATAAAATAACAATACCATCATCACGCCTTAACCGCATTTTACCTCCGACCCGGATTGAGTCGCATGGCAGAGAACTGCGCCACTCTAGTAATCTTAGCCTATTTAAGTGTAGGACGGACAGATTTAAGTACAGTTTCTTCCCAGCTATGTGCTCACGTACTATGAACAAGTCATGACCGTTGTCAATTAGGTTTACAATCTAAATTTCCATTTTTATATAACTCCAATTCCTAGTTTTAAAAAGTAACAGTAGTCTTCATAATTTTATGCTTGTAAAAATACTATAATTCACTATTACTTGTATTAGTGCGATTGTATTTTAAATATACCGTCTATTATTATTATTATAAGTCTTTCATTTTGTATTATCGTTCTTGTTTTCTTCGATAAACTGTCGACATCAACCAACACGAACCTCGAATCGGCCATCTTTGTTTTGACAAGGCGCGAAATTTAGCGGGACAAAAAACGATATCCGGGACAAAGAACGATATCCGGGACAAAAAACGATATCAGGGACGATATCGTTTTTATGTCCCGCTGCTTCCTACCTGATAAAGGTACAAGTATGTGATAAATATATATATGTATATATATATATATATATATATATATATATATATATATATATATATATATATATATATATATAATATATATATATATATATATATATATATATAATATATATATATATATATATATATATCGTTTTAAACGAGAGATAATAAGACGTGATGGGGGCATTTACGCTTTATCCAGCCTTAGTTTCGAGATTAGTGGTGTCCATATACCGTAATTATTCGAATAAACGCCGCGGCGTTTATTAAATTTTTGGCGCTCAAGGTGCGGCGTTTATTCGAGGGCGGCGTTTATTGCAAATTTTGTAACAACAAGTGTGCATTTGTTTAATTAAAACTCAACTTCAACACTTAACCCAAACAACTAAGAATAAAGTTCACATGTTATGAATGCTTCGAATAAACGCCGCATCGATGGGAAATAATGCGGCGTTTATTCGATTATCCCATACCTGTGTTAAAAGCGGCTTTCTGATTGGTTTAAAGCAGGTGAGCTTGTCGTCGAGCTCACCTGCTTTTTGCCGGACTCACCTGTTTTTCGCCCGAACTCACCCGCTAAACTGCTTACGTTGCAATAACAATAACAAATATGGCGGAAAAGATTTAGCCGATTAACCTAAACTTTAAAGAACTTTTTTCGGTGACTAACATACTGAGACTGAAGAAAAACCAAAGAAAAAATGCAGTAAAGGTAATGTAGACGTAGATAAAGAAGTATTTTCTTGCCCAGTGATTTTTTTGGCCGGGAAAATGTTCACAAAACATCGACGAATATATCGCGAAGAGCTACAAATGTGTGTATGGCTTGGTGTATGGGATAAAAGCCAAACGTACTTTCAGGTTCGGTGAATCCGGGATTGGACGCACCTCGGGTGGCTGGAAGTTTCCCGAACTCACCTCCACAGTCCAATCCCGGACTCACCTCCCTGCAAGTACGTTTGTTATAGGGCGGCGTTTAATAATATTTTTGCTTGTCGCTGCGGCGTTTATTCGAGGGCGGCGTTAATTCGAGGGAGGCGTTTATTCCAGTAATTACGGTACTCCGAGTATTAACTCGTTTACTCGTTCACATCCGTCGGAGGAAGAAATTTGCATTAAAATTACATTAGCGAAGTAACTTAAAACGATTTGCATATTCGTATACAGGGTGTCCCGAAAAAATGCAATGGCTACGTTTCAGAATTAGTGGGCGTCGAAAATTTAATGTAAGAAATGAATTTTGACACTAAAGATCGTTAAAAATGGGCTGTGCCTGTAGTAGGACTGATGTTGTGGCTGTTGTAAAAAGAAATCTGGATCTGAAACTCATTAATAATTCATGTTTACATGCATTAGCCAACCGTTTACATGCATTAGCCAACCTCATCTTAAGTAGTGATTTATTCGTATGAAATGTCATTTCAAATCCTCCAATTCGGACTGGACTAGATTTCAAGTTCTCGCATCTTAATCAAATTGCGCGGACTTGAAATATAGTCCAGTCCTCATAGTCGGACTTGAAATATTACTTCACCCATTGGACCATTGAAATCACGCATTAGCTGTTTTTAAGTATTAAGAGATTTTTTTGTATGCTACGTAACACGCGCTCAAAACTAATGCGTGTAATATATCACTTGAGGTTATGACTAAATTCAAAATTTTTATTTTTCGATACGTTTCTCAATCGGCAAACAAACTTAAAAAGTATGTTTAGTGCTTTATCTGTCAAATAATGCTAAAATGAAGAGATTTTAGATGATACGCCAAAGAGAAAATGATGACTGAAATTCAGTAAGTTTTGCTTATATGACTGTAAATATGGCGTCAATTTTAAAGCATCATTGATAATTATATTTTAATTGACAATTTTTAACTATTATTTTATGTTTCTCAACCGGTAGATGCATTTAAAAAGGTAGCTAACTCTATAAACTAGAGAATAAAGCGAAAACAAAGTAATTTTGAGAGGAACGCCAAAAAGATTTTAGGTTTTGAACACTTTTCATTGCAAATACGTGACATTGAAAAAAATTGCCTCTTAATTAGTTTCGTTGGTTCTGGTAGACCAATTTTAATAAAGTTAGGCAGTTAGAGTCAAAATTTATCTCTTGATTAAATTTTCGATGTCTACTAATAATGAGGGGTCGGTTGTTCAAAGCTGGGTTAGCTTAACCCAAGGTTAACCTAAAATTCAAAGTAAACCTCCAGACAGCTTGGAAATGTTTCTTCAGAGATCTTGTTTGGATCGATAGGAGTTTTCTTCTCTGAAGTTTTGAAATAAACAGACGTGCAGAAATACACAAATTAAAACAGCAGGTTAAATATTAACCCAGGGTTAGCGCTAACCCACCTTTGAACAACCGGCCCTAGGTGTGTAAAAATCGGGAACACATGCAGCTATTTTGGATGTATAATGAACAATTATCTTGAAGTTGTATATATTATCCTTAGGTATGTGTGAATTTAACGTCTAAAGGCCGGCGCACACTAGAGCTATGTGCTTAGCAAAATGTCATTCGTGACTGTTGGCGTAAGGAGATAGCTCTCGTGTGCGGGCGATTTACGAACGACTTTTGTCATTCGTGCCACTTACGCCAAATATCTAACATGTTTGATAATTTCTGCCTCGCGTGCCAAAATTTTTCCGTGTGCGGCGAGCGAAAGCTATCTGCTTACGGATTGTCGTAACAGCGCATGCGTAGTATACGAAAGTAAACATCCAAGATGGCGGCGCAAAATGAATTGCTGGCCAAGGCAATTTTAGAGGACAAACTTGTCGAACTTTGGCCTGAATATAAATGTTTATACGATGTGAGTTCTGCAGATTTTAGTAATAGGGACAAAAGGGAATGTGCGGTGAAAGAAATAGCCAGTAAGTTTGTCCTCTAAAATTGCCTCGGCCAGCAATTCATTTTGCGCCGCCATCTTTTGATGTTTACTTTCGTATACTACGCATGCGCTGTTACGACAATCCGTAAGGAGATAGCTTTCGTTCGCCGCACACGGAAAGATTTTGGCACGCGAGGCAGAAATTATCAAACATGTTAGATATTTGGCGTAAGTGGTACGAATGACAAAAGTCGTTCGCAAATCGCCCGCACACGAGAGCTATCTCCTTACGCCAACAGTCACGAATGACATTTTGCTAAGCACATAGCTCTAGTGTGCGCCGGCCTTAACGTTTCGACATTCGTATGATGTAAAGGATTAGTCCTATATGATTGCTTTTGTTCCATTATTTAAATTAATTAGAACTATACTGATATTGGATCAACAGGTTTTCGATGAGTATAATTTCCTACTTTTTCGTCAGTGATTAATTAATTGCTATAAATATATATAGAAGCCAAGAACGCTTTATAGGCCAATATAACAGACGAGCAGCGGCTTGGCTATAGCTTAAAAATTTCCGATGTAAAATTAATCAGAGCGTAGTATGTTATAGTGAAGTAAATATTTAATCCCATAAACCGTGTATTGTGAATATTGTCAATGAATAATTAAATTCCTAACAACCGAACTAAAAAACTCTTAAAACAAACTATCTTAAACGAAGTTTTAAGTATAGTGGTGCAATGCTGTGGAATATTTTTCCTTCTCAGGCGAAAAAGGCATCCTCGCTTTACCAATTTAAACGCAGTATGTCCACTATACCAGAGACAACCTCGTACCCAGGGCCTTTCTTCTTGGGGAGCAAAGACCCTGGTCACGTGATCTGCTAAAATCTAGCAGATTTTTAATTAATTATCTTGATTTTCTTTACGACAATCATACAAAATGCAAATTATAAATTAAACTATCAAAATAATCCAAATATCAAATGTTTATTGACCTGATCTTGGATTGCAAATTAAAAATCTGCTAGATTTTAGCAGATCACGTGACCAGCGTCTACCAGGGTCTTTGGCTCTTTGCTCCCCAAGAGGAAAGACCATGTGAACGAGGTTGTACCAGAGACCCAGAGACTATTGGATGTGAGTTAGGGGCCGATTACATGGAGAACTTTCAACCCCGGGGTTGAACTCAGCCCTGTTAACCGGGTTGAAAATTTTTGCGATTACATGGACGATTTCAACCCTGGGGTTGAATCGCTATACTATATATACGTTCTCGGCATCGATTCGCGGAAGTAAAAAAAGCCTTTATTTTGTTTTCTTGTAATATATACACTACCACGCATGCTCGAATAACTCATGATAATTTCAGCCCTGGGTTGAAACGATTACATGACAAAATTTTCAACCCAGGGCTGAGTTCAACCCTGGGGTTGAAATTTCAACCGGGCCTGCTAGCTGAAATAAGCAGGGTTGAAATTTCAACCCCGGGGTTGAACTCAGCCCTGGGTTGAAAATTTTGTCGTGTAATCGCGGGTTTGATTTTGATAGAGTTTTGTATTACAGACAGGGCTGAAATTTCAACCCTGTAAACAGGGCTGAGTTCAACTCTGGGGTTGAAAATGCTCCATGTAATCGGCCCCTTAAGATAGTTTGTAAGCAAAACACTGAACCGACATCAACTCACTGTATTTTACAAATATGTTGTGTATGGCCAGCGTGGTTAAATAAATTTTTAAATAAGCAAGCAAGCAAGCAATTAAGCAAGCAAGCAAGCAAGCAAGCAAGCAAGTAAAGTAAAATATTTTAATCATTCTGACAGGCCCGACATGCATGCAATGCCGTTTCAGTTTTATTGTTTGATGCATCGTCTTAAAATTTCTTAGACTTCTTGTTCTTATTCTTGTTGTTATTAGTTGTTCTTGTGATTTTCATTGCCTGCCAACATAGTGTAGACTAGGTGTTCGAAGCGTTTCGATATGCGTATATAATGACTGTATAATCCCAGTCAGTGATGGAAACTTTCCTTTAATGCTTGTTAAAATTTGTTGACGTTTCATATAAAAATAGTATTCATCCTATGGTTTTGGCGTAGGGATAAAGCCCTAGCTTTTACGACTTGGCACCAAGTTTCAATAATGTTAATATAAAAGTCACAACTTTACTAGTTTAAGCTACGGATACACGGGCAATACTTTTCTGGCGATGACAATGCAATGATGGTAAAATCGTTGCATTGCCGTCGCAAGAAAGAAATTGCTTGTGTATCAAGCTCTGCGACGGCAACGCAAAGCTGCGCGCAATGGCGTTGCCGAAATTTCAAATCATTTGATTTTCGGCAATGATTGCCGAAATTGGGCGGTGTGGTCAAGGAAGGTCAAAGTTGATGAATGACACGTTTCTTGACCAGCCAATGAAAAGCGTTATGAAGACATATATTGCAGGCAAAATATTGCAGGTGTAGCCACCTTGTGGGACGGCAACGCAATGCTGTTATCACCCATTGCGTAACCATCCCAGCAAAAATATTGCTCGTGTATCCGAAGCTTTATTTGTGGCATCACTTATACTCTCCTGTCATGAATAATAAATCATGCGTAAAATACTCAATTTCGAAATTGTTTATGGGGGCTTTGTTTTGACCGACAAAGAATCACAAATTAAATCATAAGTGCCTGAAAACACTGTAGCAGTTGCGAAACATGTTTTATACACTGTTTTAATGTTTTATACACCCACATTGCATTTATAGACCAGTAAAAAAAGTTGCTTATAATGCAGACTGAAATTGGAGTTCATTGTCCCATCTACTGAATAGAAATGGCACCAAGTTTCACAATGTTACTAGAAACGTTCCAAATCTAACATTATAGCTTAGGCCCCGTTTATAACACGAGACAGGAACGAAGTCAAACAGAGCCTGACCACTTCATTTCGGTCATCACTACATTAGTTTACATGACACTGGGACGAAAAAAACGCAGACCGCGGTCTCAATTCATTCGGGTAGGGATAAAACGCTGAACTGAATCGCGGGAACGGAAACTGAAAGCGGAAACTGACTGGAGATAAAACGCTGAAATGGGGATAAAAAGCTGAAATGGGGATAAAACGCTGAAATGGGGATAAAACGCTGAAATGGGGGATAAAACGCTAAAATGGGGATAAAACGCTGAAATGGGGATAAAACGCTGAAATGGGGATAAAACGCTGAAATGGGGATAAAACGCTGAAATAGGGATAAAACGCTGAAATGGAGATACAACGCTGTAATGGGCAAATTTAATCGAATTCGTTGTTTGCTAGACCATTGCGAACACATGTAATTTGTCTATAAAACTGAATAAATATAAGAAAGAAGTTACCGGTAAAATGACAACCACAAAATTTCGAAGAACGTCTGCTGCACTATTTTTAAAGTCGTTTGAATTAAATTTGACTATATTATACCTACAATCTTGGACATAACTGGTTGAGACTATTTTCCCCCCATAGAAAATTCGCGTATTTTTATGATAAACTTCATGTTGAATCATGTTGCCATTCTTATACCCCCGCTCCCCCAACTCAATGTTGAGCTTGTATCATGGTACATTACCAAAAGTTGTTTCGGCATTGTTCACAACATTGAACTGGGGGGGAGGGGGGGACAAAGTTTGTTTTGTCAATGTTCAATAACTTTGTAGTATTAGCTGAAATGGTCTCAAGGGTTTTGTCCAAGATTGTAGCTCGCGGTAAAGATTGACAAATTATGAACCTGCGTTTAATAAATATAATATAATACTTTATAATATAATATACGCAGGGCCTCATTTAAGGATGTGTAACTGGGGGGGGGGGGGCATCTTAGCAGGGGACCTCAAGAAGTTCCAGTCGGCAAATCTGTATCACTGCAGCTACCAGCATATATATACATGGTTTAACTATTACATATACGCACGTTATAGGGCAGCAGATCAGACCGTAACTAGGATTCTGAAACAACCGAGTCGACCACCAAAGGTGTGAGCCTCTAGAGGGGTCTGGGGGCATGCCCCCCAGAAAATTTTGAATTCTTGAAGCTCAGACAAGCTATTTCCAGCGTTTCGAAGAGTTTTTCAACAAGAAATTAACCTTATAAACAGTGACACAATTACTGCAATTTCACAGTCTCCCAATGTAATGAATGGTGTGGTGATGCGGTAATGAAAATCAGAAAATGTGCGTGGTATAGTATTATCATTCGCCACATTTCAAATTCTACAGTATTGTATTACATGTATTGGGGTATACTTGAAATCGACGCATTCGTCTTCTCAGTGTCACTGAAGAGCAAGATACGGTGGTCTCTTTGGAGTATCTTTACTTGTTCCAAGAGCAAATTATTTCAGTCATGGTTCAGTCTCCAAATTCCTACCGAGTTAACGGACTCGGTTGACCCATAGCTATAGTTACGGGGCTGCAGATAATGGTCAAATTCAGAAATGTTAACAACTTAACATCATTTTCTCACTTTGATACATAATTGCAGGTTAACCACCTACTGCAGGTAGTTATTAGGGATCGGGCGGGAACAAAATTTCCGACTGGAGGGGCCAGTAAGAGAGCTGGGGGACATGTCCCCCCAGCCTATATGTTAAAAGAAGCCCTGAATATACGGTGTTTTAATTTATTGGTGAATCCTCCATTATGCATGATAATAACACATGTGCGATTATCATATTTTGACTCACCAATCAAAAATCAAGATTAAGAGCCGTACGTCACGTGGCAGGTAAAACTAGGTTTGTAGTATATAAAACAAACACAAAAATGCTTGGAAATCTATGCAATTTATTCGTCTCGTGTTGAAAAGATATCTGTCTCGTTCGCTGCGCTCACTCGTTCGATATCTTTCTCAACACTCGAAATAAATTTCATTTATTTTTTTGCGTCCGGTATCCATGCTTTTTAGCCAATCAAATTGCTTCGTTCGCGGTCCGGTTTTTCACGATACGAACCGCTCAACCGGACCGCTGCGGATTTTAAACTTAAAGTAAAAAAATATATACTTTCTACTGTTTGAAATTAAAAAGCAAAAATATGTATAGCGATGGCGAAAGCCACAGGAAAACGACGAAATTTGGAATGAACTGAGGCGAGTTTTTTAACTCCAAAAACGATGAAAAAAAAACAACGGTTTAAAGATAAACTGTAATATAAAAGATAAACTGTCAAAATAAAAGATAAACTGTCAGATAAAATTCCTTCTTCGAAAATGTGTGGCCAGTTGTCATTTTACCGGGAACTTCTTTCTTATATTCTAGTATTCAGTTTTATAGGCAAATTACACTGATGTGTTCGCAATGGTCTAGCCTGTGGTCTAGCAAACAACGAATTCGATTAAATTTGCCCATGCATTTCAGCGTTTTATCCCCATTTCAGCGTTTTATCCCCATTTCGGCGTTTTATCCCCATTTCAGTGTTTTATCCCCATTTCAGCGTTTTATCCCCATTTCAGCGCTTTATCCCCATTTCAGTTTCCGCTTTCAGTTTCCGTTTCCGCGATTCATTTTCAGCGTTCTATCCCTACCCCAATTCATTCCGCCTGCTGAACCAAGCCGACTGACTGAAGACCGGCATGAATTCAGACTCAGCGATGAATGTAAACACAAATACATTTCAGACCGGTCTCGCAGCTGTGACCTTGCATGACATTGGAAGAACACATGCTAACAAAACACACCAAAAAGAAAATTTCCTGGCAAGGGAAATAAATTGAAAATTTTGTAAGTTTTCGTACCGGTCTCATGTAAACATATTACATGACAATTTCAATTTTTATTCCGGTTTAGCTTTGTCCCGGTCTCATGTAAGCGGGGCCTTAGTTGCACATTACAATACTCCACTGAGACACTCTATTTGTCATTAATAATAAATCATGCATAAAAGTACTTAAGAGGCTGTCTCCGTAAAAACCTCTAGGTCAATATGGGGCTCAAAAATAGATTTCTCCCATACTCTAGTATTTTGAAGATCTATATCCTTGGGAACAACTAAGATCGATTTCATTTTGCTCAAATTTCCTTTAAATTATTTGGGGGGAGGGGGGGGATTGATGTTCGATCGGCTGGTAACCAACTTGAAATCCTTGTCAAAGGAGTCTGGGGCGAGTCAAATGTCTTTGTTACCCGCCATTTTGTGAAAAAACATTTTGACAAGGAAAAGATACTAGTAGGAAAGAGAATGTGTGTTTGGAATATAAAATTTGCAAACTGTTAACGAAATTGCCGAATTTTTTCGCATCGACACTTAATTTCGTACGTTATGGCAACATCATGCAGGCATGCTTTTCAAAATTAATATTTAATTCCTTTAAAATTAGTTTTTTTTAAATAATTGCTCCAAAAATACCCGCCACAGCTCTGACCGTTATTAATTTATCATAGTTCTATCAAATTGTTTATTTTCAAAAGTGACCGGCAATAATGCACGAACTGATAAACTGCTTTAAAATACTTGTCCAATTTCTAAATTGTTTATGGAATTATTTAATTTTCA